TAACAGACTAAAAGAGAGCCAAATCAAGAACAAACTGCCATTCACAATTGCTATAAAGAGAATGAAATACCTAGGAATAAAACTCACAAAGGATATAAAGGACCTCTTCAAAGAAAACTACAAACCACTGCTTAAGGAAATAAGAGAGGACACAAACAGATGGAAAAACATTCCATGCTCGTGGTTGGGAAGAAACAATATTGTGAAAATTGCCATACTGTCCAAAGTAGTTTACTAGATTCAATGCTATCCCCATCAAGCTACCTATGACCCTCTTCACAGAACTGTGAACTTCTGTGAACTCCACCTTAAACTTTATATGGAACCAAAAGCGAGCCTGTATAGCCAAGTCAATTCTAAGCAAAAAAAGGAACCGAGCTGGAGACATCAAGCTACCTGACTTCAAACTATGCTACAAGGCTACAGTAATAAAAACAGCATGGTACTGGTTCCAAAACAGAGATATGGAACAGAACAGAGGCCTTGGAGGCAATGCCACACATCTACAACCATCTGATCTCTGACAAACCTCACAAAAACAAGCAATGGGGAAAGGATTCCCTGTTTAATAAATGGTGTTGGGAAAACTGGCTAGCCATGTGCAGAAAGCAGAAACTGAACCAATTTCTGACACCTTACACTAAAATTAACTCCAGATAAATTAAGACTTAAACGTAAGACCTAACACCATAAAAACTCCAGAAGAAAACATCGACAAAACCATTCAGGACATAGGTGTAGGCAAGGACTTCATGACCAAAACACCAAAAGCATTGGCAACAAAAGCCAAAATAGACAAATGGGATCTAATTAAACTCCAGAGCTTCTGTACAGCAGAGGAAACAATCATTAGAGTGAACTGGCAACCAATAGAATGGGAAAAATTTTTTTGCAATCTACCTATCTGACAAATGGCTAATATCCAGAATCTACAAAGAACTAAAACAGATTTACAAGAAACAAACAAACAAACCCACTCGAAAGTGGGTGAAGGACATGAACAGACACTTTTCAAAAGAAGACATTTATGAGGCCAACAAACATATGAACAAATGCTCATCATCACTGGTCATTAGAGAAATGCAAATCAAAACCATATGGAGATACCATCTCATACCAGTTAGAATGGCAATCATTAAAAAATCTGGAGACAACAGATACTGGAGAGGATGTGGAGAAAAAGGAATACTTTTACACTGTTTGTTGGGGGTGTAAATTAGTTCAACCATTATGGAAGACAGTGTGGCGATACCTCAAGGACCTAGAAATAGAAATTCCATTTGACCCAGCAATCCCATTACTGGGTATATATCCAAAGGATTATAAATAGTTCTATTATAAAGACACATGCACATGTATGTTCAAAGCAGCACTGTTTACAATAGCAAAGACCTGGAATCAACCCAAATGCCCATCAGTGATAAACTGGACAAGGAAAATGTAGCACATATACACCATGGAATACTAGGCAGCCATAAAAAATGATGAGTTTGTGTCCTTTGTAGGGACATGGATGAATCTGGAAACCATCATTCTCAGCAAACTGACACAAGAACAGAAAATCAAACACTGCATGTTCTCACTCACAGGTGGGCATTGAACAATGAGAACACATGGACACAGGGAGGGGAGTATCATACACTGGGGTCTGTTTGGGGGGGAATAGAGAAGGGCAGCAGGGGTAGAGAGGTTGGGGAGGGATAATATGGGGAGAAATGCCAGATATAGGTGACAGGGGGGATGGAGGCAGCAAATCACATTGCCATGTATGTACCTATGCAACAATCCTGCATGTTCTGCAGATGTACCCCAGAACCTAAAGTCCAAAAAACATATATGTTAAAAAAAAAGATTTCAGTGGTAAAAGAAGTTTGAGAATCATTGGATTAAACCAAGTTTTTTTTTTAAAAAGATCCCTTACTATAGGACTTGTCGGTGACTTTAATGTGTTAATAGGCTGTAAATCTTCAAGAGAGGGATACGGCATTTCCCTAACTTACTTAGCAGTGCAAATCCTTCTTTAAGATTTACATATCAATAGATTAATGTACTGTACTGGAAACACACTTGAGAGATGTGCTAGTCCATTATTTTCTGCAAATGCAGATTGAAGCAGTTTTTCCTGAGCTATCCAAAGTTTTTTGGGAGTTAAAAAAAAAAACAAACAGATTCACTGAACACCCAAATTTGTGGACACTGATGAGGATGTAAGTGAAGCCACGTCACTAAAACTTGATTTCAAAGACCAGCTGTTGCACCAAAGAGGAAGGAAACAAACTGGACATACTGTGTGCATTGTATGGAAGGCGCACAATCTCTGTTCAATGTACTTCTTCATTTAATGAATATGTAATCACCTTATACATTGATATGAGCTTGATGTTTAATTTTATATGCGATACAAACTCCAACCCTAACCACATGCAAAGTAATCTACACATATCTAATTTATAGAAAGCAAGAAAGAAACTAAAATTACCAGGTGAAGAGGTCACTTCCGTAGCTGATGCTGAAATTGTAAAACAAACAGGAATTTATTTTTTTTAATTTTAAAAACTTATATCTCAGATACATTACAATTAGATACAGAACAACTTTTTTTTTTTAAAATTTTTGAGATGGAGTCTTACTCTGTTGCCAGGCTGGAGTGCAGTGGCGCGATCTTGGCTCACTGCACCTTCGCCGCCCAGGTTCAAGTGAATCCCCTGCCCTAGCCTCCAGAGCAGCTGGGATTACAGACATGTGCCACCATGCCCTGCTAACTTTTTGCATTTTAGTAGAGACAGGGTTTCACCATGCTGGCCAGGATGGTCTCAATCTCCTGACCTTGTATTCCCCCACCCCAGCCTCCCAACATGCTGGGATTACAGGTGTAAGCCACAGCATCTGGCCCCAGAACAACTTCTGAGATGTAAAAGTAAAAATAAGAAAGGTTTTTAAATTGAGACTGAAAGAGAGACAGGGATGCAAGAAGGCAGAAAGTGAGAAATGCCCATTGGTTGTGAGAACCCAAGGATGGGTCAGAGAGGCTGTTTCACTGAGGCACTGAAGAGGATATCATTTCTAGAATGGCACTAGGAGCCTTCCTAATTGTGACTTTAGGTTTCTAATGTTGATTTCCCATTTTCACCAAACTAGTTTTATAACACAATACCAAGTTGTCTGAGCACTAAAGGAAAGTGATTCCTTAACATGATAAAGATATTATGACTCTTGATTCAGTACTCATTTACTTTTCTTAATTATCCATTAGTGTTTAAATGCACAAATGACTCTAACCCTCCCACTGAAATGCAAGCTCCGTGAAGGAAGGATTGTTGTGTTCACAGCTACATCCTCAGCACCTAGAGTTGTGCCTGGCATATACAAAGTGTTCAATAAATATTTGTTAAATAGATGAATTAAATCCTTTTAGTCTAGTCTTTGTCCTATAAAATTAAGCTGAGCAATGAATATTGCATTGCATTTCCTTTTCTATTCTACTTTATTGGCAAGAGAAAGAAGCATGGATGAAGCACAAACTGGGCTTCTTCTTCTTCTTTTTTTTTTTTTTTCTTCTTGAGTAAACGATCTCAAACCACAGAGGCCAAAAGAAAATAGTGCTAAGGATTTCACTCAGGATGTAGATGAGAGGATCTGGGTTTTGTTCATGGAATTTCCTGGAGCTGCACTACAAAGTCAGCTTTAAAGTTCAAAACAGACAATTTTGGGACAAAGTCTAGGAAGTGCTATTACCCCAATGGGTGGTTCACAGGAGGGATCTGGTAATTCCTTGAAGACTGCAGAAAGTGAGGGCCCTAAGGTGAACTCATTGGGCCTTGAGTCAAACACTGGGTGGACCAACAAATTAAGGGAGGCTGAGAATAGCCAACAGACCTCCAGAACCAACATCAGGGCACGATGTGGGGCTGAGGGACTTGGGGCTGGCCCAGGGTTGTATTATATGTCATTATATAATACATGCTGCCCCAGGGAGCTCAGTGTTGACAGTGGACCTTGGGCATTTGTTGAGAGGATGCCAGTGAGACCCAAACTTCCTCATGTTGATTTTCAGGCCCCCCGCTGAAAGTCATGGCTCAGGCAGCCCCAAGAGAAAGCTGGAAGTGAGTATCTGTGCAGATGAAGCCTGGCATCCTCAAGGTGGCCACAGTAGTAGATGGACAGACCCAGATGGTGGCACCAGCCTAGTGAAGACTACATGCCTTGATACTGCATGTTGTCCAGGAGGATGTGTCCCGTGCCCCCCACCCCGCAGAGTGGCCATTCCCTGGGCCGGCCAATGCCCTCCCCACAGCCCAGCTGCTGGCACACCATGTGGGCAGTGCCAATGCCCCAAAGGTTGTCGCACACAGTCCCCCAAGTGCCACTGTGGTAGACTTCATGTGCCCTTTGCACTGGCTCCTCCCATCTGCCAACCTGACAATGGGCAAGTCTGGGGAGACCCGGAGGTTACCACTGGAATGTGATCAGCTCTTCCGGCAGACACTAGTGGGACTTTTCTTTAGTTCTTAAGATAATACACACACTAAGTTCTAAAACTCTACACACTTTTGCTTCCTGCTTCTAGGTCTCACAGGACTAAGTCAAACTTGTGCTTGCAAACTCAGTGACTGACTTTTTTGAGGCCATTTGTGATTTCCAATATTTTGTTCCCTTATTCTCCTCATCTTTGGATTGGAAATATGGCAATTATAAGAATAAGAATAAATATCTGTTTTGAAAAAGATCCATCAAACTGATAGGCAATAGTGTGGGAATATTTCCAACTCAACCTTTCATTATTTCGTTATTACTGTAGGCCAGGTTCACAGTTAAAAACATTTCTCAGGATCCAGAGACGAGACAAGTGGCAGCCAGCTCTGTAACATCTCCTTCTATATCAGGTCTGTATTTTCTCAGTCCTGGGGTGACATGAATCTGGGTGGACACTTACATTACAGGGAATCCCCTAGGAAGATTCAATAATCAGTAAGCTTTAAGGGAAACAATCAAAGGATTACCAATGCTGGGGACCATTTCTGTCAATGCTGGGGCAACTTCAGCAGCTGAAAGGGAAAACCAAGGCATCATCACAAGTGCATCAGCGTTTTAAAAGATTAAGCTCAAACTAGACAATGTCTGTATATCACTTTTCCCTCCCATGGGGGTGGTCCTCACTGTCTGACAGTAATTGGAAGCATCTATTTGAACTTTGCCAGGGTAGTATCATTGATGGTCACTTGGGAAATTTGAGGCTACAAAGAAGGAAGGTGAACATTTGATGCCCTTTGGACTCAGAGTTTTTATGCTGACACACCATGACTGTTTGAAACACTGAACACTAAGTCTTCAGATTTAAAAAAAAATGGGTGTCATTTTCCAGGTGGTTTTTCTAAAAATTCCAAGAAATGCGGTTGAATGGTTGGAGCTCAGATTTTGCATTTCTAACTCAGGTTTCTCCAAGAACATTATAAATTCTTGGTACAAAATTAATTTTGCTCTACCTGAATTTAGAAAATGGTAAAATATTGATTGAGAAATGATGGAGGTCGTGGGGATTAGAAAACCAAGCAGCAGAAGACAGAACATCATTCTGACAAGTAAGTAAGAAATTGGCCAAGTGAAAACAACCCCTGTGCCCAAAGCAAATGAAGCTAACTCTTAGGATCTGCATCCCCTGGGACTGGGGCTGGTTCCTGAGGCCCCTGTAGAAGGACCTGCAGGAGCAGTGGCCTGCTGCTTCTGCTGCCAAGGGTGGTGGCTGAGCGGGCTCTCTCCTTGGAAAGACTTCTACTCCACGAGAATCTTCCATGTCACCAGCTTGCCTCTCATGAGCACAGCTCTGATTGCACACAGCACAAGGGCCAGGGAAATAACATTTGCTGCATTTCCAATAGTCATAAATGGTTAGATCTCAGCCTCAGAAAAACAGTTGCAAAATATAAGAATGGGGAAAGTACCTGTTAGATTAAAAATTCTTGGATGCTCCCCAGAAGTTGAAGAAACTATGGTGTAAAAAAGAAAAATAGTTACCATAATTACATTCCAAACACACACAATGATATTTCATACTCTTTTCAACTACCAACTAAATCACATGTTTGAGTCTGCCTTTAATCAACACTATCCAGCCTCTAATCTAATAGTTACCACTTAAAATGTGATTCTACCTCATCCATGGGTGTATATTATTCTGATTAAGAATATGAAAATAAAAGAAACAAAATTCATGTTGGGATTGTGAAGATATGGCCCCGTAGGCAGGGGCGCCTTTTCAGAACCATACAGTTCAGCAGCAGCTGCTGGGACCCAGGTGGCGCTGCAGGTAGAGGATCAGCTCCTGTCCCTGGGCCTTCCTGCCCCCAGGCTCTCCTGCCCCTAGGTCCTTCTATCCCAGGCCTCCTTCCCCTATGCCCTCCTGCCTTCTCTGGATTGCCACGGCCCCCATTGCATGGACCAACCCTTTGGTTCTAGAGCTAGTTTCTTAGTGTCCTGTTGAAATGCTCTTGTCTGTGGAAGAGATGACATATCAACCTACTGACACTAGCCTAGGGAATGGGAAACAGCCCTGGGTCTTCACCTTCTGGGAGGGTGGAAGGGTCCGAAGCTCAGAGCATCGTCAAGGAAAGTTAAAGCTCAGAAGGGAGACCCAGCATAGTCTGGGGTCCGGAGACCAAGTAGAGGTGACAGTTAGCTACCAGTCAGCAAGTAAAATGGACATAAATTCACAGATACCTGAATGTCCAGCAGCTGCAGAATCTGCAGAGATAAAAGAAATGAGGGTGGTTTAATAATAGAAACTGGAATGGTAGAGTGGTTTAAAGATCATTGTTTCTGTTTAGATGTGACTCGGGGAAGCTGGGCACAAATCAGTCTTAAGCATCTAGGGCTGTCCCCTCTGGGCTTATACAGCCAGGTGAGGGTTGTGGGTTGTCTAACCTGGCTACAAACTTTGAGGCTGTGATGCTGATAAAATTTGCCTTAGTAACTAAAATAACAACAAAATGGTAATATTTTTGTCTATTTATGGTTTGTCAGATGCTTGACTAAATGTTCTATGTGGGTTGCCTCAATTAATCCTCCCAATAACTCCGTGAAATAAATGCCATGATTTTCTTTCTTTTGCAATTGATTGAACTTTGCAGGTGCTCAAGTTGAATGGGAACCTCCTGTGTATTGAACAGCTGGGTGTATTTTCCAGAGTCTGAGCAGAAATCCACTGTCCTACACCTGGGGAAAGGTTTAAGGCACAGAGGCATTTCCAGAGTCTATTTGAGGATCTTGGGCTTGGTTCAGGCAGCTGCAAAACTGGCCCAGGAGGGACTGTCACTCACCTGAGCAGATGACACCAGCATCTTCATGATGTCCACAGTTGTGGATGAACCAACCGCTGTGAGGGCACTGCCCCAGGGAGGACTCTGTTCCAGTGCAGTTGACATCATCAAGGAGGATGCTCCCTGACCCAGGGCTGAAGCTGGCTCCTGGGAGGGCAGAAACAGCCAGGCCACAGCCCAGCTGCTTGCAGACCACATGGGCATCCTCTATGGACCAGCTGTCATCACACACAGTGCCCCAGACATTGACGTGGTAGAGCTCGACTCGGCCCTCACATCTGCTGGACCCGTTCACCAGCCGCAGTTCCAGACCTTGTGGACATCACAAAGAACAACCTCACAAATCTTATCCACAAAGGCCACCAGAGAAGCCACTCTTTCCTGGGAATTGTGCACTGACAATTGAGGATCATGAATTCACTCCCTTCTTTATTTCATTTTGTTCAAGTTTGCCTTGGTACTACTGCATGTAGTTTTTGCAGTTGGTTAAGAAATGGTTATTCCTTGCCATTGGCTGGAACTGGCCTGCCCCATGGCATAGCTGTTCTTTCCCTGTGTGTGGTGAAGTCTTGGTTTCTAACATTCACAGGGTGTGTTGGATTTTTCACAAGAAGCTGTCATGCATATGCTGTGTGTGTGCATATGTGTGTGTGTGTGTGTGAGTTTCTGTGTGCTCTTGCACACACTAATCAAAAGACAGTAACAGTAGCTCCCATCTCTGTTATTCCTGGGATCAGGCAGTTATCTACATGTGAAGACATTCCAGGGATTGGAAAGAGACATCACTGCAGGCTGCTCCCTATGTTCAAAGGACAGTGTTACAAAAGGGAGCAGAAGCTGGCTGTGCCTGGAACACAGACAAGGTGATCCCACAGGTGGGGAGTGTGTGGAGATGTGGGGTAAGCAGGCGACCTGGCCTTCCTGGGGGCCTCTTCCAAATCAGACCCCAAAAGCCATTCTTATATCTCACAGCCTCTTCTTTTCTGTCACTTTCCAATCACAGATTTTCAGGGTGAACCTGGACACTGGCAGCCCTTTCCTCGGCAGCCTGAGGCCATGGGGGAGGGTGGAAGTCTGGACACTTTCTCCCATGGTGCTGGGATGTTTGTGAACTAAAACTCCATAGACAGAGGCCCAGTGAAGTAAGAAGAAAGGATTACCTGTCAATGTGGACACCTCCGTTGGCTTTGGAAAAGATGCTGCAAAAGGAGAAAATTATACAACGTCTTGGGTGAGCATCAAACATTGAACTTTCAGCCCATTGTGGGTGGGCTGTCCACCCTGTGGATTATCTGCAGACAGTTTCTGATTCTCGATGGGATTTCCTTCTCATGCCCTTTTTCTGTGGCAGTACTCCTTCCACTACACAACTGGAGTGTTAGGAAATATAAGCTTGAGAAAACCATGGCTTGGTGGCTGATTTTTTAATACATATATTTTATTTAATTTTTAATTTTTATTTTTTTGGAGATGAAGTCTCACTCTGTTGCTCAGGCTGGAATGCTTAGCTCACTGCAACCTCCACTTCTCAAGTTCAAGTCATTCTCCTGCCTCAGCCTCCGGAGTAGCTGGGATTGCAGGCACCCACCACCATGCCTAGCTAATTTTTGTATTTTAAGTAGAGATGGGGTTTCTCCATGTTGGCCAGGCTGGTCTCAAACTCCTGACCTAAGGTGATCTGCAAACCTTGGCCTCCCAAAGTGCTGGAATTACAGGTGTGAATGACCGTGCCTAGCCAATAGATATATTTTAAATTCAAAAAAGCATCCTTTGGGGACCTCTGTAGTTCAGTATAAACTACCCTGGTGCTGCTTCTAAATGCTTGGTGTAATTTCTCTCTTTACCAGCTTCTCTCTGCATGTTGTACTTTACTCTTCTAAGGACCTGTCCTGGAAGAGCGGCTCGCTGAATTGAGTTGGAACTATAAAGACCACTGGCCAAATAGAGCTGGGAGCAAACTCTAATGTGATGCTTTCAGCTTTTCCATTCTTAACAATTCTGTCAAGTAGAGGGCGGTACCCAGAGGTAAACCCCTGCCGGGCTCTGACCTTGGACCAGGTGAGGGTCAGAGAGAGTGTCTGACGTCATATGCCCCGCCCACTGCAGGGCGAACCCTGGCCTGGATATTCACACAGTGAAATCCCTTGGATTTCCTCATCCTCATCCAGAGGAGAAAATGGAGGCAGGAAGCAACTGAGAGATTTGTTAGAGGTCTCACAGCCAGTCAATGAAGAGGTTGGAAAGATAAGCCCAGGGCGTTTGGATCCTAAATAACTTCCCTACTGCTTAGGGGGGCTTTGCTAGGGCAAGTTATAGGCCATCAATTCGAAACAACCAAAATTACCTGAGGTTGGGTAACTCACAGCAGCAGATGCTTCTAGGTAAGGCAGAGAGGCAGTGGAAGGCACAGACAGCGTGGGTAGCTCATCTCCCTTCAGTCTACCTAAACCTGAAAGAGAGGTAGGCTTGCTGACTTCAGTCAGAGAGGTACCACGTCTTGTTTTGGGGAGAAACTGCACACAATCTGGCATCTAAAAATGGCCCTGAGTTACTTTGGTTACATCCACCAGATGTCCCGAATTACCGAGTTTGTGCCTGTCCCGTTGCCAGACACTGCGACGTCATCTCCTTCCCTTCATCCTTCTTGTTCTTTCTTCTTCCCTTTCTTTCTTCTCCTTTTTCCTCTCTTCCTCTCCCTCTCTCTCCTTCCTTCCTTCCCTTCCTCTCTCCCACTCCTTCCCTTCCTCCCTTTCCTTTCCTCTCCTCCCCTCCCTTCCCCTCTCTTCCTCCTTTCTTCACTTCCCTTCTCTCCTCTTCCCTCCCTTCCTTCCTACCTTTTTCGTTTTTAGCAAACTGTGGCTCCAGGGATGGTCCCTGATGTGGAGCACTTGTTTTGCTAGTCGGTTTGGTTTTGTAATTCTTCCTGGGTGTATGTGTGAGTCTTGCCTGGCAGTAAGTGTCAGCTCATAAAGGGCAGAACCACATTTATCTCAAGGACATATGCCAGTGACCTCAGTGCAGGGAGGGAGCTAAAAAGCCCCTTAATGGGCTGTGGAGCTGGGCCAGGAGCTCAGGGCCAGGATGAAAAAAAGCTCAGAGCTTCTGCTTGGTGGTCCATCCAGGCACCTATGATCCACTCCCATGCTCTGCCCAAGGCCCTGGTTCCAAACCCCATGGACCTATAGCCCCAGCCCTGTCCTCTGATGTCACTTGGCATGCGGCACCAGCTTCTGTTTTGCTCAGAGCATTGATTCTGTCCCTTGACCTCTTCTGCTCAGAATGTTCCAGTACCGTCACTTGCTCCTTGCTCCTTCATCCTATCTCAGGTGGATGCTGCCAGGTCTAGACGATAAGTCGGTTTGCCTCTTCCCAGCCAAACCCATAAGGATGCAGAGATAGGTGGGAATTTTTGACTCCAACCACTGAATTGATTTCCCAAAAGTCGATCAAGATAAAACTGAGGAATAAGAGCTCTGGGCTAGAACCTGGGCTCCCAGCCATTAAGAAAGTTCTCAAAGTTGCCCTTAAAATGAAGGGATCAAATCAAAGAGATGGTTCCCAAAGGTGTGACTCATCATTGGTGGGATATGAGTTAGTTTGAGGTGCAGCATCTTCTATTTTAATAGATGCATATTTATTGCATTACAATCTAAAAGTTCACATTTAATTTTATCCTGATTAAAGATATTTTCAGAGATGTGTGGGTGTGAATTGATTAGATTAGAATGTTCACCGTTTAATTTTTTGACATTTTAAACATTGTTTCATGTTCACTGTTTGTTAACCTCCTAGGTGTGGGAAGTGGTCCTGGTTCTCCATTTATGGTGTGATACCAAGTTCCCTTTTAAAGTGAATTCACTTAAGTAAAAAATGAAGAGTCAATTTAGCAGAAAGTATTAAGAAAATATAGTGAGAGCCACAGTGCAAGGGACCTGAGTGGCTGCTGCTTGGGGAATAGTGGCTTGGGGGACTGTCTGGGATTTCTCCATGCTTCTGAGTGCAGTGGGGTAGAGAGTCATGGAGACAGAGGGAATGTCATTAGCTCAGAATCAGGGCCACGTGAGCAAATGACACTGGCATCCCCGTGGTGACCACAGTTGTGGGTGAGCCAGTCGCTGTGTAGGCACTGCACATCATCCAGAGCAATGGGGCCCTGGCACCCCAGGCACCTGTGTCCCCAGGCACCCCACATCATCCAGAGCAATGGGGCCCTGACCTCTCGAGAAATGTGCCTGCCCCAGGGCTGCCACTGCCTCGCCGCAGTCCAGCTGCCTGAACACTACTTGGGCATCGTGCAGATCCCAGCTGTCGTCACACACTGTGCCCCAGCTGCCATGGTAGTGCAGCTCCACACGGCCCTCGCATGGGTGGCTGCCATTGGTTAGCCTGAGAGCCACACCTGGGAAAGACAGACAGGCCGGTCACCACCCAGGGGCTCCCCCTTTGCTGCTGTGTTGCAGAGGAATGTGGGCATTTCCTTAGAGCTGTCGAGCTTTGAGGGCTCCCCCTCCTTCTTGGGGAGGGAATCATTGCTGGTTAAAGCTGGCTGCAAAGGTGCTTCGGGTTTGTCCTCTCACATCATGGTGATTTTTTTTTTTTTTTTGCCTGTGTGTGGGGTGTTTTTAAAAGTCTTTACCCCTGACCAGATTATCTACTTCATAGAAGTCAAAGAGAGCCCCTGAAGTCTTGTGTAAAGTGAAAATCACCAAGCATGCAAATGTTGTTGCTGCTCTTAGTGTAGAATAATGTTCTTTAGATCAGGTGAAAGGAAGTGGTACATGTTTTTGAATAAAACAGCCTCCATGACAGTGTAGGTCCAATCTGTTTCTCAGCATAGTGTGAAGTACCTCTGTCATCCAAAGATGCACGTGATGTGTTATTGTAGGGCAGTGCTGTGGGTTCTACCAGCTTCTCCAAGCCTTATCCTGGAAATAAACTAAGAAGCTTGGGAAACCCCTTTCAAATCCCTAGTGCCCAGCCGACTAAGGCAGCTGTTCAGCTTCGCCATCGTCACCACACAGGGCCGGGGGATGAAACGATTGCAGGACTTACCGGTATCATTCTCATCTTGCACAAGAGACTCATAAGATGCATAGAAGCCGATGTTGGTGATGATGGCGTCGCTACGGAACACCACTGACATGCGGTTGTAGGAGGAGGTAAATACTGGGATCTTCCTGGAACAGAATCTCCCTAGCGAAAAAGGTTCACTCTGTGGGCCATCAAAGATTTCAATGAAGTCATATGGACAACCATAGGAATCTTCCATTCTGTGAAGCAAAACAGTATCATTCAGACTCGGTCCATTGGGGCTTTCTTCCCAGTAAGTACTGCCCAGATTGGTTCAGGAAGTGGTCAGGGAAAAACTTTCTGAAACCTACATCTCTACAAACAGGTTGTAGGAGATAATGACCCTATTGACATGGGCAGTAAGTATCCTATTTCCTATTTCTAAAAATCTTTTAATTTTTAAAGTTTTACTTCGATGATATTTTCTGAATATGTATTACAAATGTGGGATAGAATTTAAGTGGTATTGATAGGCATATGGTGAAAAGTAAAATGTTCTTCCAGCTTTAACTACTGGTCCCCTCTTACTTCACTCCCCTTCCTACAAGCAGCTTCAGTGAACAGTTTCTGTGTATTCCTTCCAGAAATAGTCTATGCACAAATGGAAACACTCTGTACTATTGTCTATGGCTTCCTGACAGCTCATTCCATAGCAATACACACTGTGAGTGTACAGCCATATGTGGATGTACTAAAATCTGTTTAACTAATTCCCTATGGATGGACAATTAGATTGTTGCCAATCTATTGCTAGCATGAGAATGTGCCATGATTATCCTCAGTGCACATGAGACTTTATCTACAGACCAAATTCCTGGAACTGGAATTGCTGGGTGAAAAGATCTGTGCATTTAAAATTTTAATCAATATTACAATGGGCCCTCAAGGCCTAGCACACTTTTGAAAATTATATATGGATTTCTTTTTGGAAGGAAACGGGAGGGAGGTAGTAAAACTGGAGTGCATAACTGAATCAAGAAGAAAGCAAAGGTAGGAAATATTTACTCACTTCACCTCTTCAAATGTAAGTCTCACATGAGCCCCAACATCCGCTTGTATGTCCCAAGTGCACACCACATTTGTGGGATAATTTTTAGGATACCAAGGACTGGAGAAGGAGCCTGAATTATTTGTGAGCAAACCGCCACAGTGGAAATTTTCATCTGTAACCAACAGTGAAGAAACCCCATCAAAAGTGGGCATTTACTGCTGCCTGTGTTTTCAGGGGGTTCAAGAGGGGACAGAGTGAGGACAGAGGTAAGAAAGACTTGTTTTAGGGGCTGCTTTGGCTGATAGCTGGAACGGTTGGCTTTGGAGAGTACCCCGAGCTCCCAGTACTGTCTTGTGGGCAATGAGGATGGTCAAATGTGTTTTTGTGAGGAGCAAGTGATGCGACATATGGTTGAAAGGGCTCTGTGAACCTATGTGCCCAATAGATCTAAGCTTGTAGTGTCAATGATAAAGGAGCAAAGACAATGAGACCTCAGCACCCTTTCTCAGCGTCGCATGTTATGAAACAGCTGGTTTTAGAAAACTCCTGGTTGTATTGTATGCAAATCTCAGCTGAAATCAACACCAAGATAGCTTAAGATATCCAATTTACAGCTGAAACACTGGATTTGGTGAGAAATGTGTGCCAAATGGAGAACAAAGTAAATACAAAAACCATGTGAAGAGGTTCTAACAGCTGAGGTACCTGTAGGGTGATTGTCACCAGTGGAATCTGTGGAGACAGAGAAAAAGTGATACTGTGAGCAAGGACTTTTATCCAGAATCTTCCTTGAAAATACTCAGAAACACTGACACTATAAAGCTGTGATTTCTCTGAGACAGAGATGCCTCTGGCTCCTCCAGGGTTCAGACACTTGCACACTACATGCGTGGATGAGTGCCATTAGATAAACTTGTTGAGGGCTGACCTGGGATGTCCTTTTTCCCCTCCAGCATCCTATAGTGTAAACATCCCTACAAGCAGTTACCCCCTCCTTACAGCAGATACTGAACCACCAGGGATTGCCTTCCTGGTGAGTCTGAACTCTCCCCCACTCCTACCATTCCTTTGTCCTCTACCATCCCATGGCCTCACCATTTTGTCAACTCTACTGGACTGCATTGCTCTTATTTAGCAACAGAGAATTTAACTGGATCAGGTCCCAACCTTAGGATGTAAATGTCACCAGGATTCACCACATCAGGGACCTGGCAACAGGTAGAACTGTATAGAAAAGCCATACCTGTTGGTTCTACGTTTGGTTTGCCATCAACACCTATCCAAAGACAGAAGAAAGAATGAGAGATGGATTGAGTAAGGCAGTTACATAACTCATACAAATATTGGGTTCTTTTTTCAGGATCAAACATGTTCTTTTCTGGGCAGTTGGGAATGCAGTATCGAAACCCATCTGTGTTGGTTACAAGATTGGCAGGCTATAGCAGTGCCCACGGGGGAAGGTAGAATACTTTCCTCTTCAGTCTCATGATGGTGCAAGTGAAACCTGGTATTTATTTGCTTTGGTCAGTTATTGGGCTGATTGAGCTTTAGACACAGAGCTGAGTTGTCTTTAACACAGTACCTCGGGGAGGTGTGATACTTACATAGTCCGGACCTGTGCGTGATCTTGGATATGCCTTTGTGGCTGCATCAGTACAATAAGGATGCTAATAGTCTCCATTAGTAGTGGTAGAGATCAAGTGAGAATAAGAATGTGCCAGTTTTTCATCAGAGAAATGCAAATCAAAACCACATTGAGATACCATCTCACACCAGTTAGAATGGCGATCATTAAAAAATCGGGAAACAACAGATGCGGGAGAGGATGTGGAGAAATAGGAACACTTTTACACTGTTGGTGGGAATGTAAATTAATTCAACCATTGTGGAAGACAGTGTGGCGATTCCTCAAGGACCTAAAAATAGAAATCCCATTTGACCCAGCAATCCCATTACTGGGTATATATCCAAAGGATTATAAATCATTCTACTACAAGGACACGTGCACACGAATGTTCATTGCAGCACTGTTTACAATAGCAAAGACCTGGAACCAACCCAAATGCCCAAAGATGATAGACTGGATAGGGAAAATGTGGTACATATACACCATGGAATATTATGCAGCCATCAAAAACGATGAGTTCACGTCCTTTATAGGGACATGGATGAACCTGGAAACCATCATTCTCAGCAAACTGACACAAGAGCAGAAAATCAAACACCGTATATTCTCGCTCATAGGCGGGTGTTGAACAATGAGAACACATGGACACAGGGAGGGGAGCACTACACACTGGGGTCCGTTGGGGGGAAATGGGGGAGGGGCGGGGGGTGGGGAGGTGGGAAGAGATAGCATGGGGAGAAATGACAGATACAGGTGAGGGGACGGAAGGCAGCAAAGCACACTGCCATGTGTGTACCTATGCAACAATCTTGCATGTTCATCACATGTACCCCAAAACCTAAAATGCAATAAAAAAAAAAAAAGAATGTGCCAGTTTTAGCATAGAGCCTGGCATGGGTTCAGCACTTGTACATCAGCTACTATTCGCAGTCAGGTGCTGGTTGTCACCAGCACCGTGGCTTATCATTGCTGGAATAGGATGGCTGATGGCAAACCCTCTATTTCATTACCACAACTTTTCAGGTGGGATCTCGATCAGGTGCAACACTTTAAGTGAAAGAACACTAACTCTTAAGCAAATTTACTTCCGCAGTTGGATTGAAGCCCAGGGCTCATTTCTGAGTTACTGCCTGCTGCTGTGGACATCTCCCTTCCCAGAGGTGGCTGGTGGGGAGACTCTCTCCATGAGGGGTGCTTTGCACCCCCAGGTGCTCACCTGAGCAGATGACGCTGGCATCCTCGTGGTGTCCACAGTTATGGGAGAACCACCCGTTGTGCATGCATCGCCACACCTTGGCTTCACTTCCTGTGCACTGCACGTCATCCAGAACGATGTGGCCAGTGCCACCATCAAAGTAGCTCTGAGACAGGGCTGACAGGGCCTCACCACAGCCGAGTTGCTGGCACACCACCCTGGCATCCATCAGGTCCCAGCTGTCATCGCACACCGTGCCCCAGGTGCCATTGTAGGAGACCTCCACCCGGCCCTCACACCTGTGGCTGCCATTCACCAGTCGCAGGGACATACCTGGGGGGAAAGCAAATGGGGCCCTCTGAACTGTGGTAATGTCTCCAGACTCTAGGACTTCTGCAAATAGAAAATGTTATCTAGCACCCAGACACCTATTCCTGTATTAGGCTGTTGGGCTCTAGGCAGGGTGGCCCTGGGTTCTGATTTGCCTGGAATGGTCCTTGTTTATGAATGTCATAGATCAATTAATACCTGTTAATTATCTTAGAGTTCTTCTTAAGCTGTCAAAAGTATTCGAGGTGGAGGAGAAATTACATGGTCACCCTAAGCATAAGCCATTGGGAACTTTAAAGTGTTGCTCAGATCCTGCTGCAGAACCTAAGAGCTCTCTAAGTGTTCTAGATGGTTTTCATATTAAATTCAGCTTGAAGCAGGTGGCTAGTTGAGATAGTTCTGTGCCAGAATGATTTTTCTATTGCATTTTCCTTTACTTCTTTGCAGAAGAAGGAGGTTTTCTTTTGGATCCATCTACGCACACAGTCAATGCAAATTATGAGATTTCAGGCCATCTGTTTTTTCAGCCATGATGCTTTGCTGGAGAAAAGTGACAGGGAGTGGCAGAGCAGGGTGAGAGTGAGGTCGGGCGCTTTTAGTGTCGACATGGATGTCACTCCAGATGTCATTAATGAAGGTCAGATTTAGAAAGCATCTTCTCTCTTTTTTTTTTTTTGAGACGGAGTTTCCCTCTTATTACCCAGGCTGGAGTGCAATGGCATGATCTCGGCTCACTGCAACCTCCGCCTTCTGGATTCAGGCAATTCTCCTGCCTCAGCCTCCTGAGTAGCTGGGATTACAGGCACGTGCCGCCATGCCCAGCTAATTTTTTGTATTTTTTTTTTTTTAGTGGAGACGGGGTTTCACCATGTTGACCAGGATGGTCTCGATCTCTTGACCTCGTGATCCACCTGCCTTGGCCTCCCAAAGTGCTGGGATTACAGGCTTGAGCCACCGTGCCCGGCAGCATCTTCTCTTTTAAAGGGCAATAGCATAAATCAGATCTAACTCCCAAGGTATGTTGTTAGGCTACCTACCGCTCTCCCTTTCATCTTGCTGAACTGTATTGTACAGAGCATAAAACCCTGTGTTGGTGATCACGGCGTCACTTCTGAACATTGCAGTCATGATGTTTGAAGAAGAGAGGAACATGAGCTCTGCCCCAGCACAAAACCGGCCCATGGAGAGTGAGGCAGCCTGTGGTCCATCGAACAGTTCAATAAAGTCATAAGGACACCCATAGATGTCCTCTAATCTGAGGATATGAAGGCAAAGTTAACATCTCCAAGGAAATTTGCAAAATGTTTTAGATAGAGTCATCTTTTGCATAGCATCCAGCCAGAAACTGCAGTCATCACTGTTATACCCCCAACTCATTATTTGACCTACTGAATCCACCCTCCTGTCCTTTCCTGCTGGGACTTCCCTGGGCCTGTTGGGCTCTCATCTTCCACCCAGTCTATTTCAGTAGCTCCCCACCTGCTATTCTGGCTTTCAGTGTCTCCTACCCTCTTTCTCTCTACCAAGTGTCTCCTGAATGTCCCCCAACTCTTTAATTCAAATATTGCCATACTTTGAGGGTGGTGGCAAATGTCTAACAATGTCTCACTGGGTAAAACTCTCCAGAAGACCCAGAGCAGGGAGAAATGGTGACAGCTGTAAGAGCTGCAAGGGTCTATTGACTCCTCCCACCAATACCCTGCCCTGCCCTGTTCAAACCAAGTGTTTTATAACATGTTTCATTCAACACGGACGATCAGAGAAGCTGACCCTGGCCATCCCACCTACTGCTGTCTTCTTTTTTATTTTCTATCCCATTATTATGATGGTATTTTTTTTCCTCACAGAATTTTTTAACTAATCACTAGTTGAAACTGTCCATCGAGTTATTGGTTGATTTGAGTACCATTTGTCTCCTCATCTAGAATATAAACTCTGTGAGGCTGGAGATCTTGTCTGTCTTGGTTGGCACTATGAGCCTATTTCTCGTCTAGGGCCTGCTCAATAAATTGAGTGGGGGCTCAATAACTATATGGTGAAAGAACATCAACACTGATCTAACATGATAAAAGTAGGAGATATACATATTTGCATTTAAACAATAGTAAGTAGCCTTTGATGCCTACGTGATAAATTCTCATTGCATAATATATACAAGATAGACATAATTACCATTGTATACAAACTAAATACGGGATTTGAAAACCTGCTTATTGCAGAACACATCTGTCCCAGTGAAGAAAAAGCCAAGTACCTCAAAATAACCTATTTTTATTTTTTAAAGTAAGTGACCGAATTTGTGTGTAAGGTGAAAATAGTGTTGTAATAACAGGGGACACTGCAACCTGATAAATCATTTTATCGGAAAACAGAATATGCTTTAATTAGTAAGCATGAAACGGCATTAACAGTAATGTCAAAAACGGCAGTGACTTTTGCTCCTGCCTAATACTTTAAATATAGATGTAATTTTTACAAATGGAGGGGGAAACAAAGTCCCATAGGTGCTGAACTGTATATAAAAAAGAAAGCATCAGTGTAAATCAGGGTTTCTCAGTCTCGGCACTATTGGTATTTGGGCCTGGATAACTCCTTTCTGGACAGGGAGTTGGGGGAACTGTCTTGTGCACTGCAGGACACTTAGCTGCATCCCTGGCCTCCACCCACTCTATGGCAGTGGCGCCCCCCAATTGGAACCATAAAAAATGTCTCAAGACCTAACCAAATGTCTCATAGGGGTATATAATCACTTCCAGTTGAGAACCACTAGTGTAAATAATAACTTTATGTTGGGAGAAACAAAAAAGAAGCGAATTTTAATAAATCTAGACTTTTAACGTCAAAATTCAGAAATCAGCCAGTATGGTCTGGCTTTGGGCAACACTTTAAACAGCTCTTTAATTTGTGTACTCCAAAATTATAGTAGGAAACTTATGTTAGAATAATAACTTTGACATTACAGGGGATGTGGGCTGTTACAACTTTTTGGAATAACCATTTCCCAGAAGTGATCAAATGAAACTGTGCCCTAAAACATTAGAACTGTGAATTTCATAGATTTGAAATACATGGTACCAACTCTTCTCACATTGCTTTCAATAAATAAATGTATATTGAATGAAGGAATAAATGTATGTTGAATGCATGAATGATAAATGCATTTTGCTCGTAATGCCCCCTGGTATTAGCTTCTGTCCTTTCTATCACAAATTATGTAGCCACCAAGAAAAGCCCCTCCTCCACTGAGTACCATTTTACATTTTAAAAAGCCGCATTTAACCATTCAGAGCCTCAACTGCTGTGGCCAATGACGACAGATGGAAAGCAGTGGCAGAGGTCTGGGTCATACTGTGGGACAAAGTCAGGAAGAGAGAATGACCCAGGTACAACCCAGGATAGCAAGATGAAACCAGGGTTAAACATTATCAGGAAAAGTAATATTTTTGTCAAAATGTTATTCATGTTTATATATATATATATATATGAAAATGTGTATGTGTGTGTATACTACATGCACATAAAAATACATTAAAATAGGATAAATTCCTTAAAAATGAGTGATGGTTGGACAAAGAAGTAGGAGGCACAAGGTGCGTGATGGGAGGAATGAATGAACTGTTTAATCTATACAAGAAAACCCTTGGTAAGGACATGATAGAAATTCTTGAAGAGAATAGGAAGCAGATTTGTGTAGCATCAGAGGGAAGAATGAAGATCAGATCATGCGAATTAGGAAGAACAGATTTGAGTTCAGATGGAGGAGGAAGGCTGTGTCTCAAATGGAACTGGTTAAGAGTGAAGGGGTGAGGTCTTCATGTGTGGGTTGTCCAAGCTGCAGCTCAATGGCCTGGTGTCAGGGAGGCCCATGGGGTGTTCTCTCAATGCACAGGAAGTTGAGCTAAGTGATTAAAAGACTCCCCATAGCTCAGATGATCAGAGCAATTCTCTTCTAAATTGTGAAAGGGTTTATCCCACAAAAGGCCACCTCGTTGAGGAAAGAATGGATTCAAATCTAAACTGGCCTTAATAGTAGAGAAAGAAAAAGTTGCTTACTTGAGGCTTGGGATCATCAGTTCTATGTGGAATTTCTCAGCCACGTGTATCACCCAGACACATTCCACGTTGGTGGGGTAGTTTGTAGGGTACCAAGGACTGGAGAAGGAACCTGATAGACTTGAAATTACTCCTCCACAAGAGTTACTTCCTCCTGAAAAAACAGATGAGAGATCCATGTTTGTTTTCTTTAGGCACAAATGTTGCATTTTTCCAGATGTGGAATCCAGAATTCCATCAAGCTCAACAGTGAAGTCACTAAATGGGGAGGGACCATGCTGGTGTAGACACAGTTGTGGCTTGGCTGGTATGAGTGATTTTGCCACTGAGAGGGCATGAGGGAGGATGGAACATGCATGCTGTCATCCACAGGCAGGACCCTACAATTGATTGTGAGCGATATTGGAAATGGGATTGGACACATGCATGTAGCATGTGCGTAGTGGAGACAGCCTGTACTTCTTTAATGCTCCCCCCAGTCTCCTGCCATGCAAACCAGCCCAGCTCAGATGTGGACAACCCACCCATTTTGAGGGCTTCCTCCCATCCATTGCCCCTGTGGTAACAAGGGCACACAGAAATTCATTCTGCTTTTATGAATTATCAAAATGATTCTCTACACCTTAATACTGTAAAGGTTATACTTTCAGTGAAAGAGTTACCTTGTGGTATAGGGGCTGGAGGAATGGTAGCTGCAAAAACCAAAACCAAAGAAAATCAGGAGAGAGCTTAGCATTCTAAAACCATCTTATGCTTAACCACAAATGAATGAGCCTGTTATTACACTTGAGTTTTAATAAATGGTATAAACACTCATTTCTCCCTGATTTGGAATGAAGCCTCTGTCCTTCTTTCAGCTGATTCATGAGGAGATCACAAACCACACACAGTGGTTTGTGAAAACATGACTTGTTTTCTCTCATATGCTAGGTTCCACAACCCAAGGGTTATTCTTGAGTTGACCAGTTACTAGGAATTACAGTAACCACATTGGGCTTATGACCATACCACTAAGCCTGTAGAAATTTACCAAGCACTGAAATTCAGAAAAATGAAAATCAGAAAGCTGAGAGCCAGGGTGGAGCAAGGCAGTCGAATATGTATTCAACTAGAGAAAGATGGACCTTAATGGGGAGCTCCAATGAGTGTGTAAGGTCCCTTCTTTTTCCTTTATCGTGCCTTCTTGGCTTTGATTTCTATGTGGCATACACAGTTTTCCTTTAATATCCATGAGGGGATTGGTTCCAAGACTCCCTAAGAATATCAAAATCTGCAGATGCTCGTCTCATATAAAACATAGGAGTATTTGCATAGAACCTATGCTCATCATCCAGGATACTTTAAATCATCTCTGGATTACTTATAATACCTAATGCAATGTATTGCAACACTACATAAATGGCTGTTACACTGTATTGTCCAGGGAATAAAGACAAGAAAAAAGTCTGTACATGTTCAATACAGATATAACTATTGATTTTTCTTCTTGAATACTTTTGATCCACAGTTGGTTGAATCCACAGATGTGGAATCATGGAGACAGAAGGCCTGCTGTATGTCTATATTCCACGTAAGTCCTCAATCCTCCCCTGCACGGCAGGTGCTGAGGGGAGGGCAGCTATGAAAGCCTGCTCATGGGAGTGCTGGTAATTGTTTGGGTTTTACACCAAGGGTTTGGTGGGGGAGGAATTTGAAGCAAACAGGTCAGACGTCTTTGAGAACTTCTTTGTCCCCATTGTCTTGCTCCTGGGCCAACACCCCAGCAAGATGCAGAACAGTGAAGGTGATGGATGCAGTCAACTTACCTGTCATTAGTCCTTTGCCAGAAGAAGTATAGCATATCACGGAAATACATTTTTCACTAACTTAACGTGGCTAAGAAGAAATTTTCTTTTGTTAACATGGTTGGTATGCAATATTTATCTCAGAGTATTAAATGACAAAAGCCTCATATTTTTATGTCTTTGTAGGTATATAATGTTCTATCAACAAACACTTTTTTGGATTTGTGCTTACAATGGGATACTATTTAGATATAAGTGGTAGCATTTTACTTCATAGTTTCCTTAATTCCATGACCCATTCTCTTTTCCAGCCAGCTAAGCATCTCTGCCTCAGAAAATGAATATTACAGCAGAGAAGAGAGAAAGGCTTTCTGAGGTTTGAAGCTCCAGGCTCCAAGAGGACTTGGGCCTAGAGCTGTTGATGAACTGAAAGCCATTCCCTCTCTTCCTGCAGTCTTTTCCTCCTCCCGGGGCCCAGGCCAGAACAGACTCCTTACTGGGGAAGAAGAGGAAAGCCAGAGGGAATCAAAGAGAATATGGCTGCTTGTTAGACCCAAGAAAGAGTTCTGTGTGCTCTGCCTTCCCTCCAGAGCAGCTACATAATTTGTGGGTCTCAGTGCCAAATGGAAATGTGGGGCCTCAGCCAGGGATGGGGAAATCACTTCCCCTTCCTACAGGTTACTGCCCCAACCCATGGCAGCCGGGCAACCCACAAGGAATGGAGGTCTCCAACTTGGGATGTAGTTGGGACCTGGATTGGAATGGGCAAGAGATCTCTACAGAGTGTCCTAGCAAATGTGACATGTTTCTGCCAGCCCAGTGCAGGAACGGATGCCAGCTACCTTGCTGGGCTCTTAAACACCACAAAATACACCCCTGATCCCAATAACTGCCTGGTGTCCAGGCCCCTACTGGGGGCAGAATGTGGCAGCAGTCACTAAGCAGGGTCAGGGAAGAGGCTGGGCAGGGCCCAGGGGCCCAGGGAGCAGAGAAAGGGGCAGGTGAGAACCTGTCCCTGGGAAGCAAGAGGCTGCAGGAGGCAGGACCACCCATGCTTCAAGATCTTGAGTTTGGGAGAAGGTCACTGTTGCACGTTGACTTTGAGTAGGTTACCAGTCCACTATGCTGTGCTGGCTAATCCAGGAGGCCCAAGGAAGAGCCCTAAATGGTTTACTTCTCATCAGCAGTCTGCTCTTGACCCACTGGGAGACAGTCTGGAATTTAATATATTTTTTCTTTCCTGCATACTTTCATTTTCTAACCATGTCCCTAAGAGGGAAAACTTTCCCCTTCTCTCTTCTCCCTATTGACTTTCTCAGCCATAGTGACTCAGTCTTTCTCCGTCTTTCTCCACCTACAATCCCTTGCTCTGCCACCAGAAGACAGTTTTGGATGTGATTCTATTTGGGAAATGTGGCTCCTTAGCTCCTTGCCTGAGCACTAGTTCTCAACGTTGGCTACACATTGGAATCACATGGGGAGCTTCAAATATCACTGATGACTGGGAGTGACCTCAGAGACTGTAATGTGGCAGGTCAAGGATGCAGCCTAGAAACCAGAAATTTCAAAAGCTTTCTGAGTGATTCTAGTGTGCAGCCAGAATTGGGAATCACCAGCCTAGTCATTGTCTACCAGTGTCTAGGTCAGGACAGAGGTTACATTTCTTTTGAACTTTGCCAAGATAGTGGAAATTCAGTGTTGGACCTACCTGGGGGTGCAGGAGTCACAACTGGAGCCCAGCCTCCAGCATCTGCATGCATAAAAGAAAAAAATAGAAAAATCTAAATTACATTCTATGAAGACAAAGAAATGGTGGCTTTCTAGTGTGGAGCAGTCTCAAGCAGGCAGGTCCCATGTCACATAAGCAAAAACAAGGCCATGCTTAGACCCTGGAAAAGCAGCTCCAGAACTGAGAGAGGAGCAGAGAACAGGAGCAGCCAATTGTGTGGCCCTGTTGTGTTTGTCCTCAAAATGAAGTCAGGCTCTCAGCATTCTCTCTCTACCCGGCTGAAGGCACATTCATCTATTGGGCTACTATCCTAAAATTCCCTGGCCCCACCCTGTGCATGGCCTTCATCCATCACTAGGATGTCTTTGGGTGAAAGATCAGAAACAATCTATCACGGAAGGGGAGGTTACCTGAGCAGATGACACTGGCATCCTCATCGTGGTCACAACTGTGGTCTGACAGACAGAGCTGGGGCACTGGCCAAGGTAGTTCTCACTTCCTGAACACTGAATGTTGTCTAGAAGGATGTCTCCAGAGCCTGGGCCAAAGTGGGCCTTTCCAGGAGCAGCAATGGCCCGACTACACCCAGGCTGCCAACACACAACCTCAACCTCATTCAGGTCCCACAGGTCATCATACACAGTGCCCTAGGAGCCCTTGTGTAGGACCTCTACGTGTCTTGAGCACTGGCTGGAGCCACTCACCAGTCGCCACTCTTGTCTGTCTTCTAAACAGAGCAAGATTTTATTTTTGAGTTTGGTAAGTTTTAAGTAGCAGGTAATTTCTAGCTTCTGTGTTTGCGGCTAAGGCAAACACGAGAGCAAAACCTTAAAGCCGACTGATTTCATAATAGGCATAAGGGCTTCAGGGTGAGACAGGAAGTGGATTTAAATCCTTGTTCTATGGCTTCCTAGTTGTGTAAACTTTTATAAATGGCATTGTCTCCCTGAGCCTGAGTTTTCTCATCTGTAAAATGGGGACTCCAGCAGCATCTAGAGGGAATGCTACCAATGAGAGTATACTCAGCATCCAGCACATCAGGGTTACTGCAGATCTTGCCATATGGTTTTTGTGTCACAATGTTGGGTTATGGGAGGGCAGGTTCACAGCTGCCTTTTCATATGTGTCTTGGATAAGGGTAGATTTAATTCACCGAAAGGCTCCTGGACCACAAGGGTGACTGTGACTTCACAGAACACAGTGGCAATGTTCTATCTGGACTGAAGGTCTGTGGCTAGTTAGAGTTATCTGATGTGGAGACACTGTAAGGACAGCCTCCCCTTACTGTGTCCACTGGCTCTGTCACTTTGGTCTTCTTTCTGCTGTTCCAGCATGCCCACTCTTTCCTCTGGAAATGACTTTTTTGTCATTCATCACATGCCACCTCTTCAGAGATGCCATTTGTTCCATCGGGTCCATTGCAGTACCTTCTCCACTCCAGGCACCCTCTACTCTCCCACCTGGCTCTTATATCCAGCCCTCATCTCTATCCTTTATCATCCTTACTCCAAAATCAGTTTGTTTATTTCCTTGTTTCTTGTGTTTTGGTCCTCTTTCACTTACCCAAGTCCACACTAGAACATAAACAACATGAGGGCAGGGAGCTCATGTAACTGTGCTCCCACACTTACAACCTGACCTGGTACATAGCAGGACCTCTGTAGCTCTTGTTGATTGGATAAATGGTGGTTTTGAGTTAATGAGTGTCTGGATTTCAAATGTTGGAGCTTACTTAGCTTCTCAAGAGCAGAGTTTCAAACATTGCTTCGAGGGTGAAATATACAAGGAATTCCCTTACTCAGATATGAGCAAACCCCAAACCACATCCAGGGACTTACTACCTGGTTTTCTGGTGGCCTAAAAGAATTACTGGGGTTTCTGCAGGGGCTCCTCAGCATCAGAGGTTTCATAGCTAGCAGGCAGTGTGCTTGCAGGGTGAAAATTGGACCTGGCTCTGGAATGACTGCCTGCAGGGTCATGGCTAACAGGAATCCTGAAGCCTCTCATTTGGATGAGACTAGGTTTCAACGTATGCAAGGTATAAAACAGCCCAGCAGGTGGAGGAAGTGGAGTCTTGTCACAGGAGTGTTGAACTTCCACATTTCAGCACTCTGGACAGTTCCCAAGAGGCTGCAGAGAGCCGATGCAGCCCTAAGACCCTTCATAGCACCCAGGTTTTCCCTGCAGGCAGTAAGAGCCTGGCCACTCACACACAGAATGCACATGACTGACTCATTGTAACTTCCCATGTGGCTTTCATGGTGGGAAAATCTAGCAGCGATGGAACAGGGTTAATGAAGTCAAGTGTGAGGGTTTTAAAAGACTGAATCACAGGCCTGTACTAGTAAGGGAGTCTCTGAAGTTAGAAACTGTTCTGTATTTTAACTACCAAAAACTACTTGAAGCTTCCTACCTGACTGCCTTTCACCCTGAGGAATGGCGTTAAAAAGAGCATAAAAGCCAGTGTTGGTTATTATAGAATCACTTTGGAACACCACTGTCATGATGTGTGAGGAGGAGAAGAAGATCACAGTTGCAGGGGCACAGAACTTCCCCATGGAGAGTGAGGCAATCCTGGGACCATCGAAGATTTCAACAGAGTCATAGGGACATCCAAGGATATCTTCCAGTCTGGGGTGAATAGACATGGAGGGGTAATGGCAGATTAGAAACTTCCTAGATATTAATGCTAAAAAAAGTGTGACAAGCATAGAAATTAAATATTTGGATTATATTTAAATTGCACACTGAAATGTAAAATATTAATTAACTTTTTCAGATGACTTATCACAACTCTATTTTCTCTGGCTAAGGAATGTGTGGGGATTTCACCTACAATCTCTTAATAGAAGTTTTAAAATTATAATGGTTTTGACCAATCACAACCGACATAGGACATTAGGAATGACTAATTTACACCACAACTAAATTCATAACAGTCAGATCATCCCAATGATCAGCATGTAACAGACATCACAGTCAGATTTTTCCTACTTCTATATTTCACAATATTTGCCATACTCAAATTCTTGGGCAGGAACAAACTTGATTTTAAAATAAAATCAAGGCAGGATACAGAAGAGTATTTGTAGTACGGCAATTATTCATGAGGGAGGCAAGGAGAAGTGATTTTGAAGGAACAGACAATGGGTAACATAATAGAATTTGGAGGTATGGGTTCAAGGTCCTTACCTCATTGTGGCTAATTGTGTCCCTAGGGTTTGAGTCAACAAAGGTAACACGTCCTGGGGCATTTCTGGCTTAGTGCATGTCTGAATCCATGGCTGTGGTAGAGTCATGATGGAACATGATTCAGTGCATGCCTGGAGCTAATGATCATGGAATTCCACAGTCTGGCTGTGTTTGTAACATGATGTGTGTCATACACAAGAAGAAAGGCTTCATGCAGACTCTTTTGCAGACCCACATATTGGTGAAAAGATGGGGCATTGACATCACACGGATTTAGATGGGTTGGCCTTGGGCAAATTAGTTATCCTCTTTGAGCCTCAGGCTCCTCATCTCTAATGGAGATGACAAAGACATCTATCTTTGGGCTGTATAATCCTGGAGTATGACAAAGCACACAAAGTCTGGGGAAGCAGTAAAATATCAGCTGTTATTTTATGTCATGGAGATAGAAATGTCAGTGACTTTGGAATATTTATTCTCTTTATGTCAGAGATGAGGCAATGACGCTAATGTCTCCTCTTGCTTTGCAGAATGTTTAAAAGATACAGGGCCCAAAGCTGGAGTAGTTGGCTAATGTGCGTATGACAATTTTCTTACTGTTTAAAATTTGGATTCCAATAAGAAAGTCTAAGAGGACAAAATTTGGTATCCAGTGTACAATAAGGGCAAAGCTATTGAGAATTTTTGTGGTATTTTTAGAAAAAATAAAAAGAAACAGTATCAAAATATGTTAATAAACCACTTATTGAATTTTTCAATTTAGAAGTAACTCACTTGATAGTGCTGCAAAACTAACCAAAAATCTGACTTGAAAAACCTCAGAACGTTGGGTTCTTATGCTTTCACTCTTAAATTTTTCCCACTAAAATAAATATTTTTAATATGATTTTACAAATCAATATTCTTATGTACATAAAATCTTCTCTTTAAAAGTTTTCTTACTTCAAACTTGGAATTATGAGTTCTATGCAAAATTTTGTATCCACGTGGATCTTCCAAACACATTGGATGTTTGTTGGGTAGTTTTCTGGATACTGTGGACTAGAAAATGAGCCAGAGAATCTAGAAATGACCCCTCCACAAGAGTTATTTCCTTCTGAAACAACAGAAAAAATGGTGTTAGAACGTGTCCATCTGGCACTACTGTGTAATCCTAAAAAAGACCAGCTCATACAGTGGTCCGGTGGAGTTGGGATGCAGTTAGTTGGCCTTGGTGGGCATGCACAGACCTTTAGCTTAGGGAGGAAGAGTCCATTCAGTCTAATTCCAATGAAGCAAAAAGTATTCATGTGTGCAAGTTCCTTGCTTTTCCCTATCTCTCAGCATCTGATAAAGAAAATGTCCTATTTGTCCTTTCTGCTTACAGTTTTTCTCCCCTTCTCTAAAGTAGGAGTTTTGCTTGCTGTGGAGGGACAGAGTAAATCTAAATAATAAGAGACTGGAAGGAGAGATGAAGAAACAGAGGTGGCCATATGTGCCTGGGAAAGGGGAAAGTTTGAGGAGGTTTGGGGAGCAAGAGTTTCTAGAACAACTTTGGGTTCGATAAAGGGACATTGATCTGTTAGGGGATGTTATGACTGGCACCTTCCTTACTCTTCATCACTTTTGCTGGGTAGACTATGTTTCCTTTAACTCATATATTTAGTATGAGATTGGAACTTGCAGGATTTGGGATTTATAAGGCTTAAACAAGATAACAGTGAAATATAATAGTTTCATGTACATTGTCATATTAGCATAGATAGATACACATACATGTATGTATTTAAAACAAGATTTCACATGAAGAAGCAGAAAACCTTGAATCATCAAATTATTTTTGGAGGAAATCTGAAAGCACAATATGCTTTATTGACCTTGTCTCTAAACTGTGAAGTTGCTTAATTTTTCTACTTTCTGTTCCCCTTGGCCAACTTATGATTCTCCCAGAATCTTGCAAATTCCTTGTCTTTCCCGAGATGGGCTGAAATAATTGATGATGATGTTAGTCATCTGGTAGCTTTATCACTGACCACATTCGTAAGCTACAGTCATGAGGCCAGGTCAGGCTGACATTGGAACCTCGGGGAGTTGGACCTTCTGAAATCTCTACACGTGGCAGGGGATAATGAACTGATGCCTTCTGCAGGACTATACCCAAAGAGGACAGGCTGAGTATGGGCCGGATGTCTGACCTGGGCAGATACACATCCCCCTTCCCAGCCTGCTCCTCTTGTTGTATGTTAAGTCAGTATTTTTTTTGCAGAGTTTATTAGACAGAATGGCATCAGAGAAACAGAACCCTTGCCCACACCATGCCAGGCTCTGTTGTGCTATGTCCTGGGCACACTGCCTGGTGTCTGCCATGATGGTTCTCTTGGCATGGAATGACCATTTCAATTTAAAATAAATGACTACCTTTTATGTGATCCTGAGAAGCTGCAGAAGAACCTGAAAGGGAATGGAGAAAATAATGATACCCAGGTGAAAATATTTCGTCTTATCTACAAGTCAGTGAAATATAAAGGGTTTCCTCAGAAACATCAATGTACTTGGTGCAAACAGAGGAGAGGTTGCACTGAAGGTGCTGAGTGAATATTTTCTATGGTTCTGTGGCAGGTTAGAGAAGGCCATAAAATCCTAGACATGCCTCCTGTCACAAGATGGGGTCCAGGTTTCCTTCCTTGAACCTGGGTGGGTTCTGTGACTGCTTTGCCAACAGAATATGGCAGGAGAGGCTCTGCACCTTAAGAGACTGGTGGCTTCCACCTCCCATCTCTGGGAACACTGGCTTGCTCATGCAGTCCTCAGCCACCTTACAAGAAGTCTGAGTGTGGCCAGACGTGGTGGCTCACACCTGTAATCACAGCACTTTGGGAAGCCAAGGCGAGTGGATCACCTGAGATCAGGAATTCGAGACCAGCCTGACCAACAATGTGAAACCCCATCTCTACTAAAAATACAAAAATTAGCCAGGCATGGTGGCAGGTGCCTATAATCCCAGCTACTCTGGAGGCTGAGGCATGAGAATTGCTTGAACCTGGGGTGGGGAGGGTGGAGGTTGCCGTGAGCTGAGATTGTACCACTTCACTCCAGCCTGGGCAAAAGAGCAAAACTCCGTCTAAACAAACAAACAAACAAACAAACAAAATACAACAAACCAGGAAAACAACTAACAACAACAACAAAAAGAAGTCTAAGTGTGCATGGTCTCTCAGCAGGGTAGTTAGACTTCTGGCTGAGCTCATCTTTCCAGCTGACCCAACCAAGGCACCAACTGTATCAGTGAAGCTATGTTGAATTCTCCAGACCAGTCACCAGATGAACTCCACTGAGCAATACTGCTCAATGCTCTATAGAGCAGAAGGGTCTCCCAGCTGAGCCCTGCCTGAATTCCTGACCCTCAAAGACATGACATACATCTAAATGGTGATTGCTTTAAATTGCTAAATATTGGGGAGCAACAGATAACCAGAATGGCTCCTTTCACTCAATCTCATTTTTCTCATTTCCCTGCCATCCATAAAATGAGAAAACTACAGATGAGTCTTCACTGGACTATCCACTGCCCTTGACTCCAACCATGGTCCTTTAACTTTAGACAGTCCCTCACTTCTCACTCATGGTCCCAATAGGTAAAGCTGGCCTTCCCCCAAGAACATCAGGACATATCGAAGTCTTCTCCAGGCAAGTGCCCAAGAGAAATGCCTCTGCCAATGGCTGTTAGTTTATCTGTGTTCACTAGGGCTGTGTAGGGATCAGCCAGGTACATTCAAAGGGGGAGAGATGATCTTGTAAATTCCAGTCCTGCCACTTTCTAATCAACTTATCTTCGGCTGGTTTTTTGATCTCCCTAATCCTCAACTGTGAAATCACCTTTAGCATCATTTCAGAATTCGCAGTGCCTATGGTTAGTCTGGTTTTTCTAATTTTTGGTCTTTATTACAGATGAATATTAGTCAATAATTCAATGATAAGATCTTTGAAAAGGGGTGAAAGTCCTAAGATCCCTAAGAGCATGTACTTTGGGGCCAGAATGATCAATGTCAAAATTTGGGTCATTAACTTGCTGAGTGATTGTGAGAAAGTTACTTATCCATTCTGTGTCTCAATTTTCCCTTCTGTAAAATATAATAGATAATGCCTTTTTCAGGATTGACCTGATGATTAGCAATGACCTGAGCAAAACACCTCCCCATGTTTACTCTAGTTTTCCCTGGTTTTTGTGTAGCTGGGTCAATGAATGGGTAAATGAGATTGATGGCCAAGAGCATTGACAGCTTAAGTTCAGATACCCTGGCTAGGCCTCAGCACTTCGCTAACTTTCTATGTCTCAGGTTATCTGGAATATATGAATAATCCAAGAACCTGCTTCAAGAGGTTCTTGTGGGGATTGTAAGAGTTATATATATGAAGGGCTCAGAACAGTGCCTTGTTCTTTGCACTTATAAGTATTTGCTGCTATAATTTATTATTATTATTATTGGAAAGATACCTGAATTAGAAAAAAAATATGAACATACCTGGAGCTGTGGCTGGAGATAGGTCTTCTGCATCTGAATGCATAAAAAAAGGTAAGAGGTTACTTTATTTAGTGTGACAAGGTATAGGAACCCAGAATGCCAGAACTACCCCTTGGGCAACTTCAACCCTCCTCTGGCAGATCCCTTAGCCTAGAAGGTTGGGGAACAGCAGCTGGGTCAACTCTGCCCCATAGCAGCCGGGGCTGCATTGCCCTTGGCCCTTCCTATGCAGAATTCCTAGACTACTTGTTAAGATGCATATTCTTGGGTCCCTTTCCTACTTGGTCATAATCTCTGGGGGTGGGACCCTAGAATCTGCATTGTAATGTCCATTTGGTGCTCATGCCAACGAATTAGAGACCTTTCCTGTGCAACTCCTGTGGTGTCCAAAGGAGATACATGAATGGATGGATGAAAATTCCACCCAGGATGCAGTTTCCAAATGCCACAATTGCAGCATCAGGAATCACTGGCTGAGAGGGGAGAGGATACCTGAGCAGATGACACTGGCATCCTCATGGTGGCCACAGTTGTGCTCTGTCCAGCCCGAGTGGGCGCACTGGCCCAGATAGCGCTCCACACCAGCACACTGGAGGTTATCCAGGAAGATGTCTCCTGAGCCGGGGCCAAAGTGGGCCTTCCCAAGGGCAGACATGGCTCGACCACACCCAAGCTGCCGGCACACAACCTCAGCTTCATTCAGGTCCCACAGGTCATCGCACACGGTGCCCCAGGTGCCCTGGTGGAGAATCTCCACGCGTCCTGAGCACCGGCCAGAGCCACCCATCAGCCGAAGCTCTGGCCAATCCCCTGCAGAGAGAGATCTGGTGACTGTTGTTCTCTGGGGGCACTGTACCCTTCCCATGGGTGTTGAGCTCCCCACCCCATACTACTTCTACGAGTGGAGAACTTTGTAGTTGATCAACTAGTCAACCTCTTAGTTGGAAGTTGCAAAGTTGTTAGGATTGTCTGTAGCACTAAAAAGTCCACTAATGGAGTAGTTATTTTTCCAGAGGTATGTGCCGATTTGTTTTGGCTAAATGCAGAAAAACAAATGATTTGCACAGTGATTTATGATTTTTACAAAGTATGTGTGTGTATGTGTGTGTATGTTCACATCCACCTTTATCATAACTCAGGAAGGTAAGTAGAGGAGTATACCAATTTTATCTCTGAGGAAACTGTAAGTTGGAGAAGCAAAGGGATTCACCCCAAACCCCACATCTGGTAAGCAGCAGATCTAAAGTCAGGTATCCTGATTCCAAAGTTCACAATTTTTTCTCTGCTTTTCTATATCACTGTCTGTGAAATGACTCTGACACTCCACTTACTTTGCAAAAGTCTATTGGTGATGTAGATGAGGAGCTAACTATGATCAGTACTGGTCATAAGGAGGAAAGATAGAACCCCACTAGAGAGAATTTGTAAGCTGCTCAGGCTTTGATGGCTCTGAAAGGTACCAAAAAATGAACTTTACTCATCCTGGGATGCTAGAGCCAAAAGATCCCAAAAGTTTTAAATGGCTCTAAAACTTTGGGCAGAATCAAGTGTCCCATTTGCAAATAGATGGACTATTTGCAGTTGGTCCAGTTTCTGTGCATGAAGCAGATACAGACACAGATACAAATGCAGGTGCCAAGACAAAATGACACTTGGTAAATGAATGAATGCATTTCAGAGCTTACCTGCTCTTGCTGTTACTGTCCTGGGTGTTGCTGTTGGGATGGCTGTGATACAAGAAGACTAATTAAGAAGGGACGACTTGGGCAAGTCAAGAGGGCAGCATTCTGAGATCAGTCTTCAGTAAATGCCAAGATTCTGGCTGATTCTTTTTCCCTGCAGTCTTGGTAACGTGACCTCCCAACTCAAACTCTGTTTTCATTTGTTTCTTTGTTTCTCAGGTGTGTGTGATTCAACAAAAATAATATTCTCTTTTTCTGCTTAGTTACCATAAATATAAAAGTATTTAAATTGTCCTATTCTATGCAAACATGCAAACTTCAGGATCAGTGTCCTTCTGGGGAAAACAGCTGTTTCTTCTGCTTGCTTCTGCTTTAACTTTTTCTAAAAGTGGAGTATCTAATTAGGTGAGTCATTGGCTTTGATAGAAACAAAAAAGGAAATAAAACCAACAATTATCAATATACAGAGACTCAACTGTTGGGAGGCATAACTTGGTTTGAGTGTAAGTGGGCATCATACTTGTGCACAAACTGTGCAGATGGAATCTCTCATCTACAGAAGATTTATACAGGGAACTAGGATCATCTATGAGACACAGAGCAAATAACGATGGTAGAAGCACTTGGAGGGGGGCACAAGAAGAAATTAGGGGGTGAAATTTGAGTAATAGCATGAACATGACTCACTGATTAGATGTGGGGTCTGCGACACTGCCTCTGCAAATACAAGGAAATACATCGTCAATAGCCGTTTAATGTCAATTACGGTGATTGTTCATTATCTGCTTTGGTACACAGAGCATCTCCTTTGTGTTTTATAGCATGTTTCCAGAGCTTGCTCAGTGAGTTACCTTGGCACTTGGTAAAATACAAGAGATCGTTTTGAACCATGTTTTGGAAAAAGCGGATACTAGCTATTTGCAGTTTCATGAGCTCTGCCTGTTTTCTCTTAGTGGTAAATAATGCAGGACCTCAGATAATTACTGAACCTCCTAAGCCTCAGTTTCCTCATCTGTAAAAGGGGAAGAACCATGGGTCTGTGTGAGGATAACTTACATGAAGTGCTTAAAATGCTGCCTGGCATACAATAGGGATTCAGTAAATGTTAGCTGCTATTTTGAGTATTTTGATCACTGTTGTTGTTACTATTGCCTAACCCTGAGTACCTTGCACTTCAACAGGGAACCTTGGCTTGGTGCTGCCTTCTTGCCACACATTTTATATTTCCTATTTCTAGGTCATGCTGTTCCCTCACCTGATATGTTATCTCACCTTCTCTACCTTTAACTTAGCCAGCTATAGAGGCCGTTTCCCCTCAATGTTTCCTTAATACTTTTAACCTACATTGCACTTTCTGTCTCTCCCAATGTCTTTTGCAGAGGTGCATGCATATGTCAATTTAGTGTATTCTAGCATATTTATCTGTTCCATTGTTTGCCTTCATCTAGGGTTTCTATTTGTCCTCTACTCACATCCATGTATTTGCCTTAAACATCCTCTTGGTTGCACATGAGCCTCTCTCAGGCTGGGACTACAACTTCTTCTGTAGGTCCTAAAACACCTACCTAGTACTAAATTCAGAGTAACTTCAGAAATAACCTTCTAATGGGCTGACTGTAACAAGATGTTTACGTAGAATGAAAAAGCCCACGATAAAGCAGCCCATTATCAAGCATTTATGATGTGTCATCACTTTGCGAAGTTTTTCACTTACCTCATGGCATGCAACCCTCACAATAAACCTAGAAAGTCAGGGTCCCTTGTTGTCCCCATTACACAGGAAAGGAATGGAGGCTGGGAGAGGTCAAGCTGCTTGCCCAAAGTCACAGAGTAAGTGATAGGATGGTGACTCACACCCAGGCAGAGAGTCCAGCTCTAGAATTGTTGCTCTTTACCATTATTCTCACCTTTGGTTGCAGAATAATAATAAGCAATGAAGTTTTTTCCTAGGTTGTTGAAGCTTCGGAAATACACGAGGGTCATTGAGCTGGAGGAGGAGACGTAGGTGGGGTGGAAGCCAGAGCAGGTCTTTCCCAATGACTTCGTTGAGGATGGAGGGCCGTCCAGGATTTCAAAATACTCATTGGTGCAGTCAAGACTGGGGAAGCAAACACCATGGATGCCTCTCAGTTTCCTCATCAGAAGACCTTAGAGGCCTGCTGTGAGGCAGATGCTTCATTTTGTTACTATAAAGGTGCTGGAGATAAGAGTAAAAGCCTGTCAGTCATTTAAACATAGCATGGGCTCCTTTGACCCTGCTTTTCCCCTCTGAGAGCCATTGCTTTAAGGGAACGGGATTTTAAATGGAAGAGGAAAGATGAGGCTGGCACGAGATGTGCCCCTGGAAGCAGCCCAAGACAGCAGAGCCCAAAAGCTACACAAAGTAGCTAAGTACATACCTAACAGCTTAGGACTTACTCAAGATGTGGAAATGCCAGCAGTATATGATTAGATGCATTCGCCTTAATTTCCCACACACAAGTGATGTTGTCATGCATTGCATTCTGTGGGGGATTCCTAATCGCTCCAGATGAGTTAGTAATAATGCCACCGCACCGAGATTTTTCTAAATGCAGAAATATTTTTTAAATTTCAATTGTTTCTTAATTCACATCTTTTCTTAAAAAAAAAAAACAACTATTTCCAAAGAAGATTTTGGTATTACTTTGTGAGTATGTCTTAGAATACATCAGAAGTATCAACTAGTCTAAAAAGTCTTGTAGACTTAGAAATTAGAGGATAAGTGCATCTGAATTTTAAAACATCTCTCATCTCTTTTGAGAATTCTGCCATCTATATGGGCTTGCTGGAAAGAGCTATTATGCAATATCAGCCAGAATGTTTTTCTCTGGTTATCCCCTAGTTGTGGGCTCTGTAGCTTTGACTTTTGTACAGTAACTAGTAGTAATGAGTAAAGTACTGCTTCAGTTTCCCAATTAACTTGAGCCAACATGGAGCCTCTGTGGAAGACAGAGTTCATCCACTGTCAGTTATAATTTATTCAAATTGCATTCTTAAAAACTCACTATTAAGTACAAAGAAGTTGCCTTTAGTCATCCACCCCTGGAATACCCCTAATACTAATAAGATTTTGTATTTACCTGTCTGCCCACTTGACAATTTGTTTATCCACCCACTGTCTCTGTTCTGCTTCTCTGTCTATGTATCTGTCCAACATTCAGTCCCGAATTAAAGGTGATGCTGGTGGCAATGGAAACAGCTGGCTCCATCAGATTATTGGGATGTATAAGAACTGGACCTAAACTCCATTGGCCCTGGTCATCTAGCTGTTGTCTAAAAGGACCAGCCAGGCTGTCTTTGCAACAGTGGTATTTTAGCCCTTTGTCCCCAAGTCGTGCTAGAAAAAGTTCAGTGGAGCTTCTGAAGGGCCAAGGCATAGGCAAGATCAGAGGAAAAAATGGCAGATGAAAAAAAAAAAAAGAATAGAGAAGAACGGAGATTGTCAGAGAAGGGGAAAAGGTGAAGAAGAAAAATGTGCTCATGGAGGGAGCCCTCTCAAATCATGGCCTTGGGTACCATCCTGGAAACATTGCTCTATTAATGGCTGCATGCCTGCCCTTCACTCATGGTGTCCATGCTGGGAGGCCAGACAGCTAGCATCACTTGATTATCTGGACTTTTTTCTTTTACTAGACAGAAATGGAATTAGAACCATAAGTTTACTGGCATTTGTTACTCAGCTTGTCTCCCAGAACACAGGTTGAGAGGGGTGACCCAGACAGGGCAGTAGTACTTTGGCTCAATTTCCTTGAAGGATCACATCAGGGCTAGAGCTAGGAGATGATGATCGAGGTAGCAAAGGACACAAAAGTCTCACCTGTGCCCACTGTCCTTGCCGGGGCAGCTAATGGGTGACCTGTCAAACACACAAAGGACATGCTTAGGACTTACTTAAGACATGAAAATGCCAGCAGTATATGGCCATCACTCTGCACCCCTGTCTGCACATGAGAGCCCTGAGGAGCTTGCCAAAAAATATACTATCTGGGCCACACCTAAATCTACTGAACCCGAGTCTCTGGAGGAGAGGCCTAAACGTGGAGGCAATTTTATTGCGGAGGAAGGAAGAAGCACTGATCTATGTTGTTCCAAGACTTTGATGCATTATTCTCTTGCCTATATGCAAATAAGAGATTTTTTAATTTGAGGTTTAAGAAAACTGAAGACATAAAATTCTGGCATCTGGAGCTTCTTCCCAGGCAACTGAAGGATTGAGACTTACGAGGTTGTGCTGTAAGAATAAGGAGAAGCACTGAGTCACTGATTCTTCTGATCTGGTGCTCCCCAGAGATTCTGAGTCAGGACCTAAAGATGCTGTGGATTCTCCTCCATGGCCCAACATCTCTCCTGTAAGTGGCACTCAGCTCAGCACCCACCCCCCCATTGGAGATCCTCTCCCTGGACCAATTCCATCTCACCTGCTAGAGCTGACAACCTAGGGAGAAATGCGAAGGAAGCTTTACCAGACCTTGTCAAATTAGCTCTGTTCATAACTCAATGACTGAGAGCTGGCTGAGACCAGGGCATCAAAGGAACAGGGGGTCTGATGAGGGAGAGGGCACTGGCATGGAAAACTCTGGGTGCTGGGGTTGGAAGTGCATGGTAAAGCCAACAGCAATGGAAGCTCTGTGAGACCAGAGCTGCACCAGGAAGGCCGAGGCAAAGAGGGAGTGGAAATGGAATCAGCTCACTTTGCCAAGACAGCGTCCACTAGCCATTTACTACTGGGGAGGAAGTACTTTTTACCATCTCTCATATCTTAACTGCCTCCCATCTATCCATTTCTCACTGACATCCCCTCTGCAAATCTCGGAGCTGGCAAACCAAAAGTATTACTTAGAAGTCTGAGAAATAATCACTTCTTGGCCTTTTGGATAAGATCAAGCGTAGAAATCTGAGAAAATGAAAATCTACTTCTGGTATACAAAATGCACAGTGGAGTGGGAGGAGAGGCTGGACTAGATGATTCTAAGGCACTGTCCATCTCTCCTGCAGGACAATCCGGGGATTCCACAACTCACAGCCACTCCACTGGCTTGGAGAACAAGACACATCCCATTTCCAGCAGAGTTTCTTCCCTGAGATTTTGATAAGCTGCATATATTAACATCACCTTCCCTACCTGGTGGTGTGACAGTTGAATATTCAGCATCTGTAAGTGCAAGAGATGAAGACATCTGCTGTGAGTGAATCACGCACTGGTTCATTTTCAATAGTTATTTTTACGCTGTCCCTTGAGAAGTATTCTCCTGAAAAGAGCTGAAGTGAGGGCCCCACCAGGGAAGGGAGCAGGGGTTTACCTGAGCAGATCACGCTGGCATCTTCCCCGTGAGCACAGTTGTGGGAAAACCAGCCGACATGGGAGCATTCCTCAAGGTGCTGCTCATCTCCTCTGCAGTGCACGTTGTCGAGGAGAATCCTCCCAGAACCTTCCCCAAAGTGGGCCTCACCGGGGGCTGAAATGGCCCAGCCACATTCCAGTTGCCTGCAGACGATGTTTGCTTCTGGAAGGTCCCAGAGGTCGTCACAAACGGTCCCCCAGACTCCCTGGTAGAAAAGTTCCACACGACCTGCACATCTTCCGTGGCTGCTCACCAGGCGCACAGGAGCCCAGCCTCCTGGGGGAAAACAAAGCAGGCAGTGGGTAATAGCTGCCCCTCTGCCAGTGGATGACTGGACTGTCATCTACCCAGCCCAGCTCTCCTTATCTCCCATGACTTTGCTACAAATATGGTTATGCTGCCACAAGAGATACCATGCCATTCCCCAGACCTGTCTGCTCCAAGAAGCCTATAAATGTCTTCCTTATCCACACTCTATTTTAAGACAGCTTGCCTCGGGTAGATTGTTTACAAAAATAGCCCAAGTTCTTCTCTTCCTTATGCTCTTAACAATGTGGCATTGCAGCCCCTCCTATGAAAAGCGTGAACTTATTTCCCCACTCCTTAATTCTGGGCTCGTGAGCTTTGACTTGCTTTGGCCAATAGAATATGGCAGAGGTAGCGGCCATATTCTATTTTTTTTTTTATTGCTGCATGATTCTATTACTATAAATATACAGTAAAAACAAATGGGCCCATCTGAGCACATCAAATGGCAGCACGTAGGAGTCCCAGCGGGCCATTCTGCAGCCCGAACTTCACGCAGAGCCCTGGCACCAGGACTGACGGCCAGAGGCTGTGGCCTTGGCGGAGCGGGAGGAGAGGTGGGGTTGTGGGGAGGTGTGTTGGGGAGAGGCGTGTGGGGAGATGCCCGGGCTGAGTGCACACACACGTAGGAGCATATATGTATGTATATGTGTATGCGTGCGCATGTGTGTGTGCGTGTGTGCAAATGTGCCTGAGCATGTGTGCGTGAACGTGAGCATGTGTGCGTGTGAGCGTGTATGAGCATGTGCAAGTGACTGCATAAGCATGTGTGCGTCCTTTTATGTTCTGTATACCTTTCGTGGCACTTCGCATCACCTACATTGATGGTGGTGGCCTAAGTGTGTGTTTGACATCTTTACTGGATAATAGACACATTTGGGGCAGGGACCAATAGATGGAGTAGTTAAGAGTGTTGTTTGTAGAGTTAGAACAGGACAAGTTACATAAGCTCCCTAAGCCTCAGCTGCCTAGCTTGTAAAGCGGGAATAATAACCAAGAGGAACAAATGAGACAATGCATGTTTTAAGCTTGACACAGTGCCTGGTGCATAGTAAGTACTCAGTTAATGTTAGGTGCCATTGCTGCTGCTGCTGCCCTTGCGTCTGACTTCTTTCTGTGTTCTCTCACCACGCCTGGCACATGTGTAAGTGCTTACTACATGGCCACAGTAAAAACCTGAATACTTCAGTGAATGTAATAATTGTGTCTGTGTGTGTGTGCATGTGTGTGAATATGCACACACATGCCAGGATAGTCAGAGGACTGGTTGCTAAGAACTTGACATACAGTACCCTATGTAATCCTGAACTATCCTTTTAGATATTTCAATTAGCTAAGTAGTAACATTCAAATGCAAGATACAGATGTCTCACAGTCTGTGACTTGGGCAGATATTGCAGAGAGAACTCAGACATTCGATGGGTCCAGGCCAGGACTGATGTTGGGGACATGGGGGTGGGGTGAGGTCAGAGGAGGTGGGCCAGATGTTTATGAAAGTCCTCTCCAGCCCAGTGCTCTAGCACTTTAAGGCCAGGTGTTTCTGTGTCTTGCAGTAGGGGCTTACCATGAATTGTGGGTTTTGTTGCCCCAGGGGCAGCAAATGACTCTGGAGCTGTAATGGAGACAAAATAAGACAGTAGCTAAGATGGCATTTATCATATGCTATCTCTTTGCCAGATGCCAGGTCAAATGCTCTGCCTGAGTGACCTCGTTTTGACTTCATGACCACCAAGTGAGGGATGGACTATTTCCTCCTATTTTATAAATACAGAAACAAAGACTCAGGGAGAGTGGGTTGCTTGCCCAGAAGCTCACTGCTTGGAAGTGTCTGAACTGGGATTTGAAGTGAGGTCTACATGTCTTCAAAGACCCTAACCCTTAATCAGCTCATTTCTTTCTTTCTTTCTTTCTTTCTTTCTTTCTTTTTTTTTTTTTTAAATTTTAGTTTATCAAACTTCCTCTGGAAGCTCATTTCTTACTGAAACAAGATTCCGGTAAAATAAGGTAACTGTATGAAGTCTAACATTTTTATTGCCCATTTTGTCTTCTTTCCAATGTAAAAATATGGGAATAAGGAGGAAATTCAACTGAGAATCTTTGCTCTACATTCTTAAGTATTCATCTAAATTTAAACTTTATACGTCTTTGACTCTGTAGAAAGACAGACATCAGGGACTATTGCAATTGGTGTTTATTAGCTGAATTGTCACAGGAGTGAAGTACTATGGACAGAAAGTGTCCCCAGGTAAAAAATATGAAAGGAAGTACTGAATTCATTATCAGTGTGACATTTCTCAGAAGACTGATATCACGCTTATTTGAACATGTGGTTTAGAATCTGGCAGCAATCAGCCTGATGATTTATTACCAAGCATAAATGTTGGATGGCTTGTATTGACTTCCCATTTTTCAATTCCATGTCAGGTAGCTGGATGTTTGAAATACTGGAGTAAACATTGGCACCATTTACTGAACACCTACTATGTGTCAACATGTTTTCTAAGGAGTGCAGCAGGCAAGATGTAAGAAAAATGAAGCTCTTTTGCTTCTTTGAGCCTCAGTTTCATCATCTGAGAAATGGACATAGTCTCTGTGTTGGCAACTTCACTGGATATTATTAGGATCCAATTAAATCATGCGTATGGAGACAATTTGTAAATATCAAGTGTCCTGAATCACAGAGTATTATTTTGTTAAATTGACTAGGTTCAATTGTGTGTGGTTATGCTGATTTGAAACTAGCAATTCAGGTGTTACAGTTGCCATACAACGGTGACACTGATCATTTTTCTATACCTTCAACCCACATATGCAGTAAAAGGCAAGAAAATGGAACTAGTCCTAATACAGATGGGGACTAACATATTTAGGGTGAGTTTTATTTTCTTTCCTGGTGTACAGCAGTTCCTGCAGGCTTGTATCACTTAGGGAGCTTGGATGCTGTTCTTTGCTGGTAAGAAGCTGTGCATGCTGATCCCTGCAGTTAGCCTACAGGTTAAGAAGGCTCTGTGGAGGCAATCACAGAGTACATTGCTTTCCTCAGGGAGGTCATCTGGACATCTCGCAAGATGAACTAGAAAGAAGACTTGTAAGATAGAGTAAGAGGTGATCTTTGGCTCTTGGTTAAGATCAGCAGAAAATATCCACAAGTGTTTCATCTGGTTAACAAAGGAAAGTTGGTCCTACCAACTTCCTATCGTTATCAAACAAATAATTCAAGAAAATTTACAAGAATGGAAGAATATGCATCTCTAGACTAAAAGCTTAAATGGAGTGTGTAGAGTAATGTGTGAAAAAAGACTCAGACCAAGGTAAAACATCATGGAAGTGCAAAACACAAGGAACAGAGAAAGGTCCTAAACGGTTTCAGAGAAAACAAAAGACAACACACAGACAATCCGAAAGACATCAGGCTTTACAATTTCTAAATTTAGGCCTTAATGTGTCTGGGTCTTAGCAATCAGGTTTGCCAGAAGTTTCTCTCCCTCTAATATTTTCTCCCTCAGAAGCATTTGGCCAAGTAAAGGTATATGGGATTGGGACCTAAGAGTATGTGCTCAAATCCTTACTCAGCCATTTTCTAGTCAATTAATTCTAGGTAAATTAATTTTCTCTATCTTTCTATGTAAAAAAATGAGGGTGGAGCAGAGGTAACTTTTCTTGTAGATTTGTGTGAGCATAAAATGAGATATTGGTTACATGAAAGCATCTACATCTCTGATTATGATCTCATGGTTGTTTCATAAATGTTAGCTCCTTCCCCCATTTTCCAAAAGACTTACCTACTGGGGGCATGGGTGTGGATGTCAGGGTCACTGCCTCTGTTGCGGCTATGGTTGCAGATAATTCTTCACCTGTCATAGGGACAAACAGAGACATCCCTAATAGTTAGAACATCCTCTAAACCCAACTTTGGAAAGACAAAGTTTTGAAAACAGACACAGCCTAAAGGTCACAGTCAAATATGCAGCATCAGCTCCTGACTTAGCTTCTCAGAGCAAGAGCGTGGTCAGCATTCAGTGTGGCTTTAGGTGTGGGAAGGAACAAGCCCAGGGCTTGGAACATGGTTCCCTTTCCCCATCCCCCATAGAACAAGTGCCAACTGACCTGTTAGAGAGAGAGTTGAGAGAAGCACAGCAGGCTTTGTGGTGGGCACAGCTACCAACAGTGCTTGACCTGTAAGTATAAAACAAAGAGAGTTCTTGTTCACTGCTAGATACTTTCTAGCTACACAGAAGCAATGTCTGGGTTAAAATATGTCCTGTCAGTGTTTTGGTTGGCTTCCCAAGAGGCAGATTCAAGTAGGGAGGATAATCCACTCTCCCTTCTCTACCACATTCATCTATCACTAGTTAGGGCATAATGGGATGAAAAATCCAGCGCTTTTAGAACTTCCAATTCGTACATTCTAACCCTTTAAACACCCACAAAATAAATTCTGAATTTTCTGTTTCTTTTAGGAACAAACCAGATATATTTAGTTAAATGATTGAAGCTTTTGGCTTATTTCTAGGTTTTGGCTGAATATATTTGGACTCTTAGTCACTTAAACTGTGGGAGGCTCACATAGCAAAATAAGATAGTCTCCATTTCTATCCTATTAACTCATAAAATATCATTCAATTACTGTATTGTTTTACTAAAAATCTGAAATAATTATAACAAAATATTAATATTTGATAGAATCTACTAGTGAGTACTCAAGTGTTCAGTATACTACTCTTGACATTTCTCATTGTTTTTTTAATACATTTTATAATAAAATAATCTAACTTTGACTTC